TCCTATCCTTGCCAATTGCTGATATAAAGTACACGTTATAAATCTAAGTATTGTATATAAAAACTAGTATTTATTAAGTACATAGTTTAGTATATAACGATGCATATTATTAAAACTTCATCACATCTGAAAGCAACTATTTGCTATCATCTGACAATAAATACATAGATTCACAACGGGTTTTTTTGTTCTAAATCAACTGATAAACAACGACTTAAGTCCTGATTCTTCTTTATAACATAAAGATTAAGAGGTTCTCATAACATCTACGAACAGCTACTTGCTATCATCTGACAGTAAATACATAAATTCATTCTAATAATTTAAAAATTATGAGGATCTCATATCATTCGCGAACAGCTACTTGCTATCATCTGTTAATAAATACATATATTCACAGCAGTGTTCTTTGTTCTAAAGTCTGATTATTCCTTTTAATATAAAGATTATGAAGATTTTATCACATCCGAAAACAGCTACTTGCTATCTTCCGTGAATAGCTACTTGCTATCTTATGATAATAAATATAATGATTCGAGGTTAAAACGTATAATATAGAAGAAATAGAACAATCAACTACCAACGATGAGGATGGGGTTTGTGATATTATCTTGTAGATTAACGCTAACATTAATATAATATAATAATGCAATTTTCAACCGAAAGATCCAGTGCCTTCAAAAATCGATCCTCAATTTTTAGTTGTGCTTTCTCGAAAAGCCATAGAACTCGACATTTATAAAATATTTTGGAACAATACGACTAAGAATCACGAAAGAACTCAAGAATTTCAAATGTAAAGAGTATGTTTCCTTATTGATATATTTATTTTTATGGTGAGTGAGCTGACGAAGTAGAAGGAAGAACGAATCGTACTCTATTAACTAAGAAGACCGTTTTGATTCTACATTCTCCATAATTGTGGGTAGAAGAATAGTCATACAGAACCAGCATTAATAAAAGCAAGTATCTAGCTCATACTAATGTTGGTAATATCACCGAGTGTGTTAAAGAATGGGGCGTTCAATAGCTTAAATCTGCTTCTAGACAAACCCGGTCATAGACGCAACAGGTACTCCGGTGACTTTTATTCGAGCTCCGTCATTATTTCTTTCGAAATGAGGAAGGACCTGCAAGTTTGAAGATAACTGCACATACCATAATAGTTTCTTATTAGGTGAACTTCTTTATTTGTTCAAGTACTATATTAAGTATTATAAATTGCATTATGTACATATTGCACTATGTTATAGTTAAGGGTGCTGGAATAATAAGGTACACTTATATTTATCCTATACTTCTAACTATTTCGATAATAATCAACTGTTATAGAAATAGTAAAAATTATCATATCTATTACACTTTAAAAGGTTTGCAAATTTGTTGCTGACTGAAATCAATACTAGTTTACGGTGTACCATAGCTTACACCCTTGGCAAACACTAAATCATTTTCTATAAACGTAACCCAAAATTATTTGATGTTTCGAAATAAAAACACACCCTAAACCCTTTCATTCAGATCGGTTATTTTAAGAAATATTAAAGAGACGCCGACATTTGATACTCTCGTACCTTCTCTTCTCTTGCAGTACAGCGTTTCGCTTGATCTTTAGAAAATTGCGCTCATACGGCATTTGGCGGACGTTTGCCTTTGATTTTGTTTTTAATGATTTTGTTTTATTGGTTAAACTTCTTTTTATAAAGAAAAAATAATAACAAAAAACAACAACAACAATAACCACAAATATTTGAGAAGCAAAAGCACCGAAAAACAGACATTTGTATGTACACTTCTGAACTGTTTGCCCCGGCCTCTAACCGTATGTCCGTCGGTCCATTGGTTTGTCCATTTGTTTGTTGGTTTTGTTTGCAAGTTTGCTCCTTATTGTCCATCTGTTTTACTGTCTTCTGCTTTTCGGTTTTTATAAAATGTCCGAAATGTCTGTTAGCTGTCCGACTTTATGGTACTTTACTAGAGTTGATTGCACTTGAATGTGGAAGACTTAACCTGAGCCGCTTGCGCTAAGGATTGAAATATATATTCGGAGCGGAGCGATATGTGCAGTAAGCGACGAGGCGCGAAACAAGTGCAAAAAGTTATTTAAGCTACGCGTATGGAGTTCTCCATTTATATATATGAGCACGTCGCATTCCTATAGCAAAAAGTTAAAAAAGTGAAAGATGAAAATGACAGTTTTATAGTGGTTCAGAGTTTAAGGCTAAGGCCGGCAAGTAACTCAAAGTGAAAATATAGGCAGGTGCGTTAAGAATTGATTTTTGTTTTTTTTTTGGATAGAAACTTTCTAAAATTTTTTCAACTAATAAACATGTTGATCTATTAGACAAAAAATAATATATTTCAGTACGTTTTTTATGATTTATGTCTTCTAATAAAAATGTTAGAAAATGAAAATTTTAAGTTTTTTTTAAGTTTTAAGGTGGACGGTCATATTAGTAGATACAGGTAAAACTACTTTGAAACACTTCGTTTAAAATTGGAATCATTTTCTTTCTGCCCGGTCCAAATAGATTTACTAAAATACTTATATTGCTAAAAAATTTTAACTCAATCAAAAACCATCACAGAAAGCTCTCCGTGTTTTGGATGTAACGTTTGTTTACATTGAGTCAGTTAACCTTGAACATTATGTTAGAACTATGGAAGGGGTGCAAAATAAACTAGTTATAAAGATTTAAAAATTTTGATAAAATTATGTACTTCCATTTCTCTCCTCAGATCAAATAATAATGAATACAAAAAAAGACAGAGGAAGAAAACAAACGATGAAGACTAAGACTATACTGTTAGCCCAGATGGCCATTATGACTGTTTTCTGAATTGGCAAGAGCATATTATCAAGATTGACAACCTTGAAAAATAGTTACAAATTAGTTAAAATATGCTATGCAATATTACTAATTATTTTGAATATTGTAATTATCTAAAAACATTTACATTTTCTGAGATTATATTTTATTAAGATAATGTTTCAAGTCACACTTCAATGGTCATCACGGCTAAAGTGTACTAATTATATTTTTAATAGTTTTACGACCCCACTGAATCACTAAATTTGACCACCATTCTTTACTACTTTTTGTTTTTCTCATAGTCCTCATAAAAAAAGAGGTGATATGCATTGAATTTAAGTACTGTGAAGACCTTGATGCAAAGCACAATGTCACGGAGTTAATTAAGAAATAACATTTTTAGAAACAGAATATTGGAATTATGTAGAAATAAAGTAACAACAAAATCATATTGCCAGCTTCGAAAAAAATATGTGGCAATGATATATAAATTAATGGAATGAGTTCATAATTAGTATGGTTATTTATATTCTACAATATAAGGGAGCGTCTTTAATCCAGGTAAACCAAATCAATGTTTCGTTATCGTTAGCTTTTAAATTACTATTTTAAGAATAAAGACAAACTTGTAACTACTTTTTATTAAAGTATGGATGGGGTTTTAAAAAAGCTTAAACAGTATATTAGCAATTTTGCTTCCAGAAACAGTACAAGATCCTGACACTCAGTTGATACAGATGTGAAGTTGGATAATAATATTGTCAAAATCGTAGAACATACTCAAGAATACACTTAAAAATATTTTCCAATTATATTTCTAAACTGTAAGCGTCTCTCAACCTAAACAGGAAGAGTCTAAAGTCACTATCTGGTGCACTAACAGGCCACACCGCCTGCCATAAACACCTACACAAAAAAGGTATGTTTGCAGACACAAATATTTGTAGACTTTGCTGTGATGAGGAAGAGTCTCTGGAATAGTTGATCACCACGTATGATGCGCTAGGCCACAAAAGCCACAAAATTTTAAGTGCTTACCAACTAGAGGATGAAGACCTTCAAAAACTCCCTCCGAAGGAATGGGTTCGATTCCTCTAGATACTAAATGTCTAAATACAGAGGGATGCACGATAGATAAAGCTGGTCGCAATCCATAAAGACCTTAGCCTAACCCATAAACCATTACCATTACCAAACTATTAGCCCCGAAGTGTTAGGTGTTTAATGTAAAGTGAGAACTTTTTTGAAGAGAATAAAATAATCATTGAAGATGGAATGAATACTGTTGGAAAAGATTAATTTTCTTGTTACTTTATAATCAAACATTTTTTCATAATATCCATTTTGATTTTTATTTAAATAGAATATATAATAGATATTTGTGAAGAAATAATTATATTTGAAATAAAAACACAAAACAAAACTTCGGAAATATAATATCCAGATTCTTAGCCAATAAATTTGAAGCTAACGAATCATTGATTGATTGCCAATTTGTAATTCTTCAATTTATTTCCGAAAGCTATAAAAGATACTTTCATTGAAACATACAATATATCTGAGAAATACAAATTATCCGAAAAGCTTTAAACCCATTGACGTGTAACAAAAAATACTGAAAAGGTGTAAATTACATTTACACTGGAAAAAACACGTATTTTTCCATTGAGCTGCATATTTTAATAAAACTATTAAATACATAGAAATCGAAATAAAAGTACTAAAAGGAAAAAATAATTGTAAAAAACAAAAGTTAAACAAAAACGTTGCAGTTAAATGGAAACTCAATATAGCAGTAAAAGCACCAGTAAAGACCACACAGCAAAATATATGAGTAGCTACTCCAAGGGTAATGGAGTGTACCAGTCGAAAAATTAAATATCGAATGCAGATGGTGCGTAACACTGAGAAAATAGGCAAAATATATGAAGTACAAACAGAATAAAATATATAGGCAAACATAGACCAGGAACACAGAGTACAGCAAACAGAGCAGCAGTCGATAGAACGATTGAAATGAACAAATGAACGATTGAACCAACGGATGGATGGGTTAAACGGCTGGACGGACTGGAATTTGCATTGAAGTCAAGCACAGACTGCAGCACAAACAAATACAAATCTTTGTAGGCCCCCACAGCACTCTAGTACTTCTCATGTTTTGTTGTTGTGGTTAACAATATTTAACTATTTTGTAGCTAGAATGGTAGCAAAATTGCATAGCAGTTCTTCATGTGGTGTGTGGTGTGTGGAGTGTGGAGTATGGTGTGGCTTAGTTTGATATGATGTAAGCCCAGTGTGTGGATTTGTGCGTATATCTTCATCGGAGCAACATGTAGCATACATGGCTTGAGAGTGCAACAATTGTGGTTCCACTTGTGCGCACAAAACTAACAAAATAACACTTAATGTGGAGGAAAAACAAAATATTGTTACATTGTTGCCAAGAAAGTTGGTTTATAATAGTGTACACACCACCAAGAAAATTGGTAGGCCAAATCAAATATCATATGTAAACTGCGAAGGAAACCGTAGAGCAACAGAATATATTACCTTTAATTTTTCCTTTTAGCACTTCTATTAAGTATGCATTTTATGGTACTCGTGTGGTCAAGATGAGGATAGTTTCAATTTAAAGGTATTTTTAAGTGTTAAAAAGAACTATAAAATATTTATGAGTTTTGCTTAAATACTAAAAGTTTAATGAAAAAATTAATACCAAAGTGAACCGTAAAGCAAAACATTTTCATTTATGCAGGGAACATTTCACAGCCATTTAAAAAGTTATAAAATAATTATTCATGCAGCTCTTTTTCACTGAATTTTTGCCGTAAATGTCAGCAAACCAAACGTTTGCATTACCAGAACGTGCCATACTACTTAAAACCATGGAATTATTCATGTAATAATACAAGTTATTGCGAATAAAAACATAATTTAATATTGTAATTAGTTTTTGTTTAAAACTGCATTTCAAAATTTAGTACTAATAAATTTTTTACGTTAGTTTTAGCAATCAGAAAATGATTAATTAATGTTGCTATTAAATTTTTATTAAATTTTAATACTCTAGGAGTTGCAGTGATTTTTTAATTTAAACCGATTTTAATATATTTAAAGATCAGTTATACTTTTGTTACACATCAAAAAACTGTTTAAATAATTTTATTGCTAGAAACAAAGATAAAGCATTAAGTTAACTAGAAACAATAATAATAACTTCTCTACATTAATGAGCAATTTGAGTTGCTATTATTATAAAATTTTAATGAAGCTTTTATTAATTACTCTTATTATATATTAACCATATATGATACTCCTAAAAACATACTCAAAAAACTAAACGATACGTCATTAGTTTCTAACAACAATTACGTTTCTAACAACTGTCCTTTCTAGACAAGGGAGTACCATATATTAAAGGATCTTTGTTAGTAATGCTCTACAAGTTAATCTTCAAGGATGGTATCAAGATGCCAAATTAGTAAATAACATATTCTAAAAGACTTAACATCAAGAAGTTTGTGAGTTTCCCCAACTCTTCCAGCGTCTTCCAGTCGAAAGAGTCAATAATTGGAGAAACATGTTGGCTACTAATTGCAAGCTCTAAATACAAACACAATACAACCTCTTAGCTGCTGGAACAAACAGAATAAAATATCTAGGCACAACACACAGAGCAGCAGACGATAGAACGATAGAAAGGACCGTAGCCACTTTGAGTAAACGACACAAATTTTCTCTTATCTATGTCCCGAGACATCGATCTCTTAAGGAAATGAAATAGCAGTCGAGCCTGCGATAACTAATTTCAAATACAAATAATCCCAATAAGAAGCTCTAGAGGAAAAGTTTTTATTCTAACAAAATTTATATCCGAAACAAATATTTATTTAAAGGTTATATATAAATCATTCTGTAACCCTTGTAAACTAGTTGTACATCACATTTTACATCCCGTTGTATTGACTGTTACACAACGGTCATTATGATATGATTCATTATGTCATAATGAATACAAATTAGTTGATAGAGAAATAGGTATTGTTACAATAGTTCCAGGCATTTGTATTAAATTGCATTACAAATTTAGTGCTTGCCTAAACCATTAATCTATAAAATTTCTCTGTTATAAATCAGTTTGATATATGTACAGCTTTTGTTAATTATTTTCTACTGTTAATTATCGTAGAAAAAAATACAATTTAATTTAAAAATCACTAAATGGTTAATAAAAAAATTTAATGCACCTACATATTTAAGAATTGATTTATAACTTTTAAGAATTACATTAGACAAGTTCTGATATATTGTTTCGACTGTGAAACATAATTTAACGAAGTGCATAAAAAGCGTCCATAATTTAATATCTTTAAATGTCATTGTCTTGTAGAGTGTCTACATTCTTTTGACAGCACAACATCCCCAGAATGCTTTTAAACATTTTTAAGTTAATTTCTGACAGTTTGACAAATTAAACTAGCATAAATCACTCTCAATAATTCACAAGCTAACACATTCAAACACAAATCCGCAATCCTGAAAATAGGCATGAGTCGTCTATGGACATACTTAAGCGACGAGCATAACTTAAAATAATGTCTTCATTCGTTATAAATTGGTTTTTCTAGCTGAGTTTTCTCAATGTACACTATTTTTTCACAACACGCCAATTTACTGCCCTCGAGATTGACATAAACCAATTAACTTTTGCCATTTATTTATCGCTTTTTGACTACGCTTTTGACTTTAAAAAGGCACTAAAGCATCCTTTAACAACATTTTTCGCTTTACGTTCAAACCAACAATTTCCAAGGGCGGACAAAGGATACAACAGTGTTGCGAACAGCTGCGATTTTATTGCATGCAAAACTGATATAATTACGGGAAAAGTATCTATTAAATACGACTACACAACCTGAACCCCATTTGTAGCGCTCATGTGTGAATTAAAATAAAACATAACGACAAGAGGATGTAACATTTTTCAAATAAATTCTGCTGGCTGAGTTTTAAATATATTTAGCGAAATAACTTTAAATATATACAAATAAAATCAAAAGAAGCATATGGAATATAACGTAGAATAGATAACTTTGTGGCCTAATCTTGGCGAACTGTCAAATTGCATTTTATGCCATGTTAAAGTGAACTGTGCACTTGTATGTGTATATATGTGCGTCTCTCGATGGACATATGTGTGAGTTAATCCATTTATCTATGGCCATAATTCTTAAAATAGACACAACGTACAAGTTCCTGTCCAGCTTTTATTTATTTTTATTCAGTTTCGCTGTTTTATTTTCAAATCTTTTGCTAAACTCTGCTTAATACATTCAATTGATTACACACAATGGGTAACTAGCGAAAGGATCAATACTCCAATGAAAAAAGAGGTCTGCCGAAGTGCACTAATTACCCATGCACATTCCATAACATTGAATGTTGGAAGCTTGGGAGTGAAGATTAGAGTTGCATGAAACATGCAACATTTAAGGGCATGAATAGACTAATGTAAAGTAAGGCTTTGATGTACTTTCGAAATCTCTTAAAACGCAAAGAAAACATATGAAGTGACATGTGAGATTTTAATACAAATCAAATTCATTAGAGAGTAGAAGCTTCTTAAGTATTGTACATATCTAAAGAATATGCCACTCTCAATAAAAAGCATGTCAAAGCATTGCTACGAAAGTGCCAATTAGACATTCTAGTAATGCTATACTATTACAGATCGTCGATTTTGTAACGGATAACCCCTCTTCACTTTTAATTTCTCTAATAATGGTAAACAATTAATACTCATATATATCACTACTTAGTTTATTTTTACAAAACAACTATGTTTCATTAACCTATGCTTACATCTAATGGTGAATCCTATGTGTTATGAGCACGAACGTTTTTGGTGCCCTTGATTATGGAACGCCACAAAATTCAAAGACATCGTAAATGATATAAAGCGGAAAAAGTAGCGGTAGATTGTTCAAATACTACCAAGAATATTAAGCTAAGGTATTGTAAACGACATAACATGAAAAAAGGAACAGTGGACGAAACATTGTTAGTATTGATTCTGACAACATTGTTCAATCAGCTTCGATTATGGGAGGTCACAAAATCCAAAGACATTGGAAACGAAATAAGACAGGTATTTTCTATGTATTTATTATATCAAGGTATTACAAGAGATAATAGCTGCAGACTTTGTCAAGAGAATACATTTTGTGTCACTTTGATAGTCTCGCTAAACTCAGACTTTAATACTAATCAATTGCCTATTCGGTTATAACAGAATTAGACAGCATCTCTTCAAGGGACATAATGGCATTTTTATGGAACTAAAGTGGGTTTGTCACAATAATCCTTAGAGGTTGCAGTGATATGGTGACATAGCTCCCAGTATTTATTAAAAAAGTTATCTAATTTCATCTAATCTAATCCATATAGACCCGACAACATACATCATTCTTCTGCATTTTCAACAGAAGACACCACAGAAGTTGTCAGGATGTTTATATGGAAGATAGAAAATTTATTATGTCCTACCACCGTGTGAGACTTGAACCCACTAAATCACCTCTTAGGAAGGAATGGAGAAGATTTTCACAGCATTGTGAAAACTTCATTCACAGGAGAGAGGAGAAAAAATAGGCTTAGTACATAAAAACAAAAACAAAAAAATTATGTCCAACAAAGGTTTAACTCCTTAGAAGATTTATAGTTTGAGCACCTAAGAGTTTAATATAATCAATATGCTCAAAACTTATAAAGTTTGTCACTAAAACCATGTGGCTTAATGAAGGTAAATTAGCAATGGTACCGCAACGAGCGCCAGGCCTAAATGAGCCACAAAACTTCCTTTTTTCAGAACTTTCAGATTTATTATGATAACAATAATGCAAATATAGTTTATTTAATAAGAAACATGAATAATAAATCAGTTATTAGTGATATAGTAAATATTAATCAAATCAATTATATTGTGTTTTGAAATTTAAAAATATACTTTTGAATACGAAAATATAGTTAAAGTATGCCAATATATAAAATTCTCAATCCAAATAATAATATAAATTAATCATAAAGAGCCAAACCACATACTATTAATTATTATTGTTAAAACACATGTCGTTTTACCGTACTTGTGAGCTGTGAAGCTCTAATTAAATAGTTCTATGGTAAAGACTATATACGACCGCTTGTGAAAGGCATCCGTTTAATATAAGGCACAAATACGGAATTTGAACCGACATATTGTATTTTCTCTCACTCTCAATTTCATAATTTGCATTGGAAACAACAATTTTTTTGATGCCGTCACCAATAGACTCTATATAACATGGCCTCAAGCAAAATTATCAAAATATTTATTAAGGATCGGTTACTT